TTCCTTCCTTCCTTCCTTCCTTCCTTCCTTTCTTCCCTCCTTCCCTCCTTCCCTCCTTCCTTCCTTCTTTCCTTTCCCTCCCCTTCCCTTCCCTCCCATCCCCTCCCCTTTCTTTCTCTGCACAATGATTAGAATGCAGTACTGCAGGCTAACTCTACCCACTGCCAATAGTTTGAATCTCAGCAGCCTCAAGCTTGACTCAGCCTTCCCTCCTTCCTTCCTTCTTTCCTTTCCCTCCCCTTCCCTTCCCTCCCCTCCCCTTTCTTTCTCTGCACAATGATTAGAATGCAGTATTGCAGGCTAACTCTACCCACTGCCAATAGTTTGAATCTCAGCAGCCTCAAGCTTGACTCAGCCTTCCGTCCTTCCATGGTGGGCAAAATGAGGAGCTGGATTGTTGGAGGCATTTAGAGTGACTCTGTAAACCGCTTAGAGAGGGCTGGAAAGCACTGGGAAGCGGTATATAAGCCTAAGTGCTATTGCAAGTCACCTCTAGTCATTTTCATTAGACCTACCCCAACTCCTGCAACCGTTCTTCATATGTTTTAACCTCCAAAACTCTTTTAGCGACCAAAATAGGACACCATGTTCTAAATGGGATCTTATCAAGGCATTATAAAGTGGGCCTTCCAAGGTGGGTAAAACGAGGACCCAGATGGTTGGGAGCAAAGAGGCTAAGCCTGTAAACTGCTGAGAGGGGTGTGTGAAAGCTTAGCCACATAAACTTTAGGCTCAATTGTGGTCATAAGTTGAGGACTACCTGTACCGGAACATGGGATCACATAATTTTCTGCTGGCTTGTCCTAATGGTCTCCTCCCCAACAGACAGCTGCTGTTTCAGAAATGCTCTCTCTGGCTCACCTGTTGCTCCGCCTCCTCTCTGAGCTGCACCCTGTTTGGAAGTAAAAAAAATAACACACCTCCCATTTAAGTTGCCTTTGAAGTAATCTGTGAATCCGTCTCTTCCTAGGCATCCTAAATCTAATTGAAAGAGGACTGATCCCACGTGCTGCTAGGATTACTCTAGAGAAGCCACCCATCCAGCCAAGACCTGTCCCTCTCCATGAATTTCAGACAAAGTACAAGAAGGTTGACGCAGGTAGGTAGGTTCAGACAAGCAGGTGCCTCCCGGAGTTGAAAGGCAAATATCCACCGTCCTTTGATAATGTGCTAAGATTCCTTTGTTATCCTCAGGGATTTAAAACTTGAAAGCACAAAAGGGATCAAGAAGAAGAAATAGAAAGCTTTTATTACTTCCTGCTTGAAGTCCCAGGGCTGTTTCCTTAGGAGTGCCTCTGTTAACAGAATAACAGAGCTGGAAGGGATCTTGGAGGTCTTCTAGCCCAACTCCTTGCTCAAGCAGGAGACCATCCCATTCCAGACAAGTGACTGTCCCGGCTCTTCTTAAAAACCTCCAGTGATGAAGCACCCCCAATTTCTGGAGAAAAGCTGTTCCACTGGCTGATTGTTCTCGCTGTTAGGAAGGTTTTCCTTAATTCCGGGTTGCTTCTCTCCTGGATTAGTTTCCATCCATTGTTTCTTTTCCTGCCTTCTGATGCTTTGGAAAATAGTTTGACCCCTTTGTCTTTGTAGGAGCCCCTCCAATATTGGGACCCTGTTATCATGTTTTATTAGAGGGTTAATCTCTAATCTGTTGGTTGGCTACGATTGTGGGTTTGTTTGGTGTTTAACGTAGGCAAGAAAATAGATCAATCTCAGTTCAACGTGGCTTTTGGGGTGGCAAAATTATCTGCCTGAGGATTTTGAGCAGCCTGACTTTTTCTTTTCCTGGAAGCTTTTCAAAGCCCCTTTATCTGTGCCATAGATGGGGCTCGGCAGAGCGAGAAGGTAGAAGTGGCTCCCCTCCCCTCTCAGAAGCTCACCCAGGTCTCCGAGTGCCCAGCAGAAGGAGGAAAGGAGAAGAAAGCAACCAAGGGGAGCATCGCCCCCCCACCATCTTGCATCTCCGTCATTTCCTCCAAGAAACTCAAACAGCAGCAAGTCCTTCAGGCCATGAGACTAAGGGAGTCAGCGGCCTCTTCGATTTGCTCAGCAAAGGTACATGTCTATGGAGATTCTCCGTCACCCCAAAGGTCACGCTTGTCCCAAAGGTGCTTTATTTTTTTCAGGAGGCGACTGGACTTTCTGGTATTTCTTTGAGGACGTTTCGCTTCTCATCCAAGAAGCTTCTTCAGCTCTGACTGGATAGTGGGGAATGGAAGGATTTTTCCACCCCA